AACCCACCTCAAAGGGTTGCTGTTGTGGGAAAAATAGGAGGAGGAAAGGATATTATGTATGTTCACTGCTTTGAGTTACTTTTAAGTAACAAAGGTGGGATAAAAATCTAATAAGTAAATAAATACTTTCAGCCCCCAGAAGAAAGTCCTCTGTGTCTAAAGAGTAAAGGGTTGGAAAAGGATGCAGGATCGGATAATTGGCATTTCTCTTGTTCTTGTAATAGTTTAGCCTGTCCTTGGCATTTAGAAAATGTTTCCTGGGTTAGAGGACTTGAGAACGTTTCTCAGATGCTTCTGTCCTTGTCTGGCTGAAGCTGAATTAGTAGAATGAAATAGTCCGTATATGTGTTGACCTTGCTAAGCAAAACTAGTCAGCCTCAGTCTAACCAGAACATCTTCAGTCATTTCAAAGCAGAAAACTCCAAAAGAATCTACAGGAGGAAAGATATTTCTCAATTATTATTCAAGGAATATAGATATTCTCAAACAACCTTTTTTTCCAGCCATTTGGGTGTCTGTTGTTTCCATCTCCCTCCATTATCTATTCTTTATTCTCATTCAAAGCAATTATTTCAGTGTCTTCAGGCATGTCATCTCCCAGTCGATCATTGTCATCAATTTTTGAAAGTGTGATGTCTACTGATGTAAATTACAGTGCCGTCAGGAGTGTATTTGTGCATCTATCTGTACATTTACGTTTGTGATCAATAATTTTTGTGGCTTTGACCATATGCGCCCTCTGTATTTATAAACTTGGAAGAATTTCTGGAAAGTTCAGCCATAAAGGTGATTGAAATCCAACATTGCAAATGTAAATTGCAATATAGCCATTCACTTTCCGTTTCTTTTTCCCTGCATGATTATAGCTTTAGTTTAGAAAACGCAAAAGGAATGGAAAGAAAAAAGGGGGAACCGATTTCAGTGCTAAGAGTTTCAATCATGTAAGATACCTTTCATATTAGATGCCCACAAAATTGCTTCTTAACCCTGGATTAATGATGGTGGGACATAAATGTACGTAACACATCAGTGAATAAAATGCTTCTTGTGTCTTCCGGCTGTATTACTTTCTTTACAAGGCTTGAGAATTACAAAAAGGGGCACAATTATTTGCATGTAAGGCATGTGCAAAAAGCAAGAGGAACATCCTTGAGTTCCATACTTACGGAGAGAGTTTTGAATCTTCTCTCCGGGGCCACAAAGGAGGTGAATTCTGACCAGAATGGCTTAAGGATTTACAGGTTTCTCACCCCTGATCAAGAAGGAAAGTGACTCACTGTGGTCCTGCATGTTAGTAGGCAAGGCTGGAAATAAATACTATATATACTTATGTATAAGCCCAAAATTCTTTTTTTGAAAATACACCCCCAAAATTGGGTTTGGCTTATCCACAAGACCAGAACTCATCCTTAAAAAAAAAAAGTCTTTAAAAGATACTATAAAAGTTTATGTATCTAAAAATTGCTCACAGGTATCAGATGATGCAGCCTTTAAGCTAAAAGTTACTAGCTGAGTGGAGGAGATGAACAATTCCGTTGCTGCCAGAGAACATGGTACATGGACCAAAAAAACCCCTCATAAACGTTATTTTCCAAAACAGATTTCATTTCTTCTGGTACTTTTGGCTGCAATTTTGCAGGTTGGCTTATCGATTTCTATTACATGCAAATATATTCCAAAAATCATTTTGTATTATGTATTTTTCCTTTGAAGCCAATCATTATATTGTATCCACATCCGTTAGTTTACAGCTGCCTTCTTCCAAGATTTTTTAAAAAAAATGTCTTAATCGTTCTTTCGGGCCTAGTTGGTGTTTCCTGTATCCTAATCAAGTATTAACCAGATCCAACCTGACTTAGTTTTCTGGTTCAGACAAAGTTGGCAAGGGTGTGTGTGTGTGTGTGTGTGTGTGTGTGTGTGTGTGTGCCATCTACAATTTGCTAAATTCGACTTGTGGAGCCACGGCCCCTCTTTCAATTTCTCAGTCAGTTATTTAATTTTAATGATGCATCTTAGACAAACCAACTGACCTCTTATAAATCTTCCCTGACATCGGAGGATAATTACTTTGTGTTTGTCTTTAAAGAAGATGCCAGGGGTAATCCATCAGGCGGATTGGTTTATAAGAAAAATACAAATCTTATTCCATATAAACAAGCTGGTTATTTTGCACAACTTCTGTCTCAGAAGTAAGGTAGCCTTCATTTGATTGTCCCAGTTTTTAGATGCTGGCTAGAATCCGGTTACAGGTAATCTTCAACTTATGAGCCCAAAATTTATCTTGCTGAGAAATTTATTAAGTGAGTTTTGTCCCATTTTACAACTTTTCTCCACACGTTTGTTAAGTGAATCACTGCAGTTATTAAGTTAGTAACATAGTTGCTAAGCGAATCCTGTTTCCCTGTGGACGTTGCATGTCAGAAGGTCGCAAAAGGGGATCACATTACTCCTGAACACGGCAACGGTAATAAGTGTGAAAAATGGTTATAAGTCACTTTTTCCAGAGGACTTCCTGTATTTTCAGCTGTCTCAGAAAAGTCAGAAACTTTCCCATCCTCTCCCGCAGCCGGATGAGCCCAGTGAAGGACGATGCCTGGCGGGGAGCCTCTCGTCGCTTTCAACTGAGGCGTAAATTTGCTGATCAAATCTGAACGGAGGCAATTGCTAGAATCAAATGACAATCCATTATTGTGAGGCAGGAGCTCCACCTCCAGCCACCACACCACTTCTGATCCCTCCTGAACACTGGTCACAATCAGGAGGCTGCGAGTTTGATCCTACGTAGAGGCAGATATTTCTCTCTTGGGGCGCACTGATAATACATCTGCTGAACAAAACTCAGCATTGGTGACAGGAAGGGCAACTGGACATTAAATCACTCTGCTAGCTCCATTCAGTGCTGAGGTGGCGCAGTGGTTAGGGTGCAATACTGCAGGCCACTTCAGCTGACTGTTATCTGCAGTTCAGCGGTTCAAATCTCACTGGCTCAGGGTTTACTCAGCCTTCCATCCTTCCGAGGTGGGTAAAATGAGGATCCGGATTGTTGTTGGGGGCGATATGCTGACTCTGTAAACTGCTTAGAGAGGGCTGAAAACCCTTTGAAGCGGTATTTAAGTCTAACTGCTATTGCTACTATTGCTAGTTGCCCAGACTCCACCCTGCTAGGGATTATGGGTTAGTTAAATGAAGATGGTGATATATGATAATCCATTATTGTGGCATCCCCATTGTCAGTGGTTTTCCTCTAGGACAGATGAAGACGCTGTTTAATGTCTAAGCAAAGTAACCTCATCTGTCCAATGGGACCGTCCTGCTCTGATGCTCCAACAAACTCTCAGGCTTGGTGTTGCTAAGAATCACTAACATTTCAAAGAATACAGTACAGGGAGTCTTCAACTCATAACTACAATTGAGCCCAAAATTTCTGTTGCTAAGTAAGACAGTGAATTTTGCCCCATTCTACGACCTTTCTTGCCCCAGTTGTCAAGTGAATCATTC